GTGATCAAAGACAAACATCCAAACTTTCTTTCTGATCATGTGGTAAACAAGCCCCATTTCTAGCCACATATCTTTCTAATGGCAGATACTACATCATATATTTCACTGAAGAAATTAATCAGGTGATCCCAGAGAAAGTGCGTGCTTTAGGAATTCAAGTGAAGCCACTTGCTCTGTGGAAGGACAACCCAACAAAGCTGCAGCCTGGATCCAATTCGCCTTCATCTCCAAGAACTGTAGCTGAGAAGAGAATACAGATGAGACAGGGAGAGAGACAGACACGTTCCCTGCAGGTCAATGCTTCATTATGAGTACTAAGATTATAATTGGAAAACAAGTTTATACCTTGTACACCTCCACAGTCAACAGCACGGACTCCTAAGAAGAGCAAGTCTAGGACACCTAATGCCATATTGCGTAGTTATACTACATAGAGTTCTTGTCATGAATTAACATCCAAGGTTTTAAACACAACAGGTAACCATCCTACAAGGATTCAGATTGTTTAGCTTCTTCTGCTTCTTATTATGTACAGGATTTGCATGACCAAGCTGAACATTTAGATGTAAACAGTGTGAATTATCAACAGGAGTCTACAAACACAACTATACTGAGGTCTTGCCTTTCTACAGACAGTATATATTTAATACACAATGTATCAAATGCAGCACTCCCTGAGCTAACCAAGCATAGCTGTAAAAACTGAACACAGTTTACTAGAAATTTGGTTACTCCCCCATCTCTTGTAAATCATTATTCCATTAGAAAACACCCATAAAGCCTACTACGAACTTCCATCTAAACCACGTGGTTGTGCAGCTGTGCAGGCAGGCACCTTTCAAAGATCAGTGTCTACTGCATGGGGCACATGATAAAATCCTCCTCTTGTGCTGTGGGATGAGATGTTGCGGAGTGCTGGTCCTGAGCTGCTTTCAAAGGAACAGAGAGAGAACTGGGGTAAATAGGAGGGTAAAGAATGAATGAAAGCAAGTCAGAGTGGGATGGAAGGAGAAGTACCAAGTGTAAACGAGATGAACAGAATTAGGGAGAATATTAGAACAAGTGACCATGCCAGTAGTTTTTAAACAGTCATTCAGGCCCTAGAGAAATAAAGCCGGAGGAATCACATTTCAAATGAAGGTTACAACACGTTCTGCAGCATGCAAATTTAGGAAGATACAATAAAATCATATTGTAAGAACACACATCGGGTATCTTGGTATATACATCCTCTCCACTGGAGAAGACTGTAGTTAATTCAATCCACATGCTACAGGACACGCAACTTCGGTGGGCTGAAACAAATGGGGCTGCTTTCTAGCAAGTTTTATATGATGTCAAAAGATGGAACACTTTAATTCAATTAATGCTTTCAGTTGAATGCTTTTTTTCAAGTAAGAACTGCTTATTACTGCAAAACAAATTCAAATACCTGTTAGGGCCATTCTACACGTTTTATGAATAAATCTAGAGCAATGGCGTGAAAGACATCTTCAAGCTTCAGCTCATCACCGTCAGACTTTGTTACTATTTCCTCCTCACTTCTCTCTGCCTTCAGAAAATGGACAAACACACGGCAATGGGAACACTCTACTCTAGTTCAAACTAAATCTACAGTACACAATGGCAACCTATTCCTCACTTGCTTTCACCAATGTGGTCACACCACATACGTGCATATTCTAACCACTCTCACTTCATGGAAAAAAGCCCCAAAACACACCTTAGAACCTGCGCTCAGCAACCATGTGGCGGTTTTGTATTTGACAAGTAAACTTTCCGAAATCTCTCTTTTTCAGCAACCTTATATTGGTCTGCTTCCTCAACGAACCTCCCTGCTTTTGAACTCTCATAATAAACTGCCTCCATCCCACTATTCCTTCAAGTTCCTCCTGTGATTTCATGCACACTACTTCAGACTTACTTTCAAGTATTCATACTTCCAAAAGTGTGCGTTAGGTGTAGACTACGAACTCGAAAATACAACAAAAAGATGACCAAGATTTGAAAATAAAATAATAATTCCAAAAAAAGGCATAGATTTAGATATTTGTGCAAGAAATTTGGAAAACTTTTCAGCAATTCCAAACAGATCAGCTGTTTGAAAGGAAATTGTTCTCAAACTTTATTTTACTATATTATTTTCTATGTCATTTTTGCCCTAAATTCAGAAGTGCAATTCAGTACACAAAAGGCAAGAGACAGAATCCAAAGATGCAACTAAAGATTACATCAGAGTAATCTGAAAATTAGCAATATGTTTATACATTCTATTAGGCAGAATTTGAGAATTATTACAGAATTTGAGAACAATCTTCCCTGAACCAATGGAAGGTAAAGTTGAAAAGTCAGCAGCTGCTGAGCAGACAAACTCTTCCTACGGTTTACAGTAAAGTTACCTTATCAGTAATTTTTCTGCTACAATGAAGCACCCTAAAAGCACAACTGCCAAAAGGAAAAGGGATCTGCAACAGACCAAAAAAAATACTATTTTCAAAACTCCTTTAAAGATATGGTTGGGACAAGTCAACGCCTACTGAGTAACTTTGAAAGAACTTAAGTTTATTGATTACACTCCTGAACAACAGCCTTTGAAAGAGATTCCACTTTAGAATGCATAGATTCTAAAAGCAGAGCCACTGCAGTAAAATTTTAAGGGTTACATAGCATTACTGAAAGACCACGACAAAAACAAGCTTCTGGTACAAGCACGGCCCAGCCACTCCTGCCAGCCAGAGTTGTAATTCCCTCTGCAGCCATCTCACCTTGACCATGACTCGCAAACCAGAAAAGCTTCCAGTTTTCAGAGCTGAACCAAAGCACGTGCATTTGAGCTTTTTATCATTTTTACACTTACAGGGGAAGAGAAAGTCTGTGGGACAGCAAGTGGAAGATTTAAATCCAATCTTTATTAGTAATCTTCACCCTTCAATTAGCTCCCTACTGGAAGCTAGCTCTGAGAGACTCTTCACTCAGAATGCAAAGCCCTATAAATTCTGATCGTAACACATTCCATTAGGGAGAACTCAGACAAGCCTGGAAAACCTCTCAGTATGCATTCCTGAATGTAAAGAACTCAAATTAGAAAAGATCCCACTCTGTGGCTCTGTTCTCCAAGATCTGACAGTTCTAATCTCAACTGCATCAGAGAAATCAAGTTTAACGCATTCATGTCAAAACTAGCCAGGCAGAGCCGTGGCTGGTCTTACAATTCAAAAGCAAAAGCACAGCCATAATTCTACCACTGACTATCAGCCCCAATGATGTAAGAAGTTTCCCCAGACCTGACAACATAGTCAGGTATAGTGACTACAAGCACTATCTATGACCGATTACTGAAATAATATTTTCCATTCTGTATATTATTTTATCAGGGTTATTTTGGAATCTCAATCGCAAAATAAACGAAGTTGCTTTTCAATTGTTCTTGTTAAAAATTGTTCTGCTGCTCTAAAATCGGAAATGAATGTTTATGTACAAATATACAAACACGAATATACATGTGCACAAAGATACATGTATTTTGTTCACATGTGTATACACTTCCAAAGGAACGGAATAATTTCAAATGTTTCAAATGCATATATTCGACTTGTCAATCATGGACAACATGTATTCCAAAGAAACACCTCCTCGCATTTAATACTATTTACAACCCTTGAAATAATTATCTGTGGCTAAACACTCCCAGGTATTCCATCTGTTTTTTTATTTGGTTTAATGCAACTTGGAGAACAATTGAGTAGGCTTTTCTGTTCTATCCTCCAACATCACACATAGGAGTTTTTCCACTTAAAACAAAGAGATTAAAGAAGACTTACTAAGGTATTAAAAAATGCTGTAGTCAATTATACAAACTGTCAAGCAACTGAGTTGAAGAATTTTTTCGTGATATGGCAGTAACTAAAATATCACAATTGGCACTGCTTTATTACTGTAACACAAAACTATCACAATTCATAATGTTACCTAATGCCTAGCGTGTGCGTATCACTGTAATGGACCGAAGAGTAAGGTAATCTCCAAGATGCATTTAAGATACATGGCATTTTGTTTCACCAGACAAGAGTAAACTTTGTTATTTCAAATGTTGAAGAAATCTCTGAGTCTTGTTTTTCTCAAAAGTTAACAGAAAATAACACTTGAGCAGTTTTGCACAAGGTATCCAAAATTAGTCTCAACTACAGTGCCAGGTGTCATCCAGCAACTGCTGAGCACACACAATAGTACTAAGATATTAAAATATCCCTGCTGTCTCCTACCACCCAAGTAAGAAACATCTCTGAAAAAAACCCAAATTCTTATCTACAATGTTACAGTTAAAAAGCTTGTGCAGGTATGTACGTATGTGTGTGTATACAGACATTCAGATGTACACAAAACAATCTTAATAAAACCTCAAATTACATGGAAATGCCCAAACTATTCTGAAACAGTAATGCAGGGCTCAAAAAACCTTAGAAACAAGTACGTCAGTATGTGTATTTCATAGCCGTTTCCAAAATAGTTCTTTGGGCAAAGTGGTCATAGAAATAACTGGGGGAAATCACTAATGTCCTGTAGGTTTTTTCCCCCCCTTTTTAACCAGCACCCAGTGAGTATTTTGTTATTATCCAAGAACAGAATTCTCAGTGCAGCCACCTGATTACACAGCTAGCTTGAGTCTGTTTTCCTAACAACAATCCAGGAATTTCCTAAAACTCAAGGGAGATGAAATGCAGAAATTAAAGGTTTCCTTCAATAATGGAGATTTTTTCCTGCTCCGCATACACATCCAAACCATCCATTTTTGCAAGTGCAAAGAGGACAGTGGGCAGCAGAGAAGCTGAGGCCTTGGGACACAAAGAAGATTTCAGCTACTGTGAGAAACAAGCCCCAAAACACCTTCCCAAAAACAAACAAAAGATGGCACCTACAGGAGGCAAATGACAACCCTCAAACCCGCAGGTGACTCCCCCCCCGCCTTGCCCGTGTGTTTTAAGGGTGCCAAAATACAGTACCTTTGCCTTTTGCAGCAGTGCTGCTGCCAATCGAAGAGGATGCCTGAGAATCCTTCTTCAGCCTCTTGCTCTGAGGTCTGACACTGGACCTCAGAAAATGATGCTGGTCCTGGCTGTGGGAGGGCTGGAGGGAGGCCGGGGCCTGCGATAAGCCGGGGTTCGGTGGGGGGCTGCTGTTAGTGTTGTTGTTAAGAATCTTCTCTTCTTTCTTTGTGCTGCTGCTGCCTGGAGCTGCCTCTCCTCCTCCTCCTGCCCCTTCTTCTTCCAGGGACTCCTCATCTCCTCCTGCTCTCTTGCCCAGCTTTTTCACCCCTTCCTCCCCACTGCTCTCTCCCAGTTTCACTGTCATCCTGTTGGGGAGGAGAGAGAGAAAGGGGGGGGGGCACAAAGTCAGGCCAGGGAGCCCCCCAGAGAGGGAGAGAAATCCCTGGGCTGAGAGGGGAGAAGTTTAGCTGCAGAAATTCCTCTCAACATGGCCGCCGTTGTTTGTTACTAAATCCCCTTTCGTTTGCTGTCCCGACCCAACAACCTGTGCCGAGGG